TGAGAGCGTATGCAAGAATGAGAGAGAGACTGGTTTTAATGTAGTCCTTCAAAAGAATAAGAAACAATGCTGTTACAGGTTATGATAAATATCACTTGTTAATTTTTATTAAACACTAGTTGTTGCTTGTGTCTTCGTCCACGTAAAATTAAATATAAAGCCAATGTTACTTAACTATAACCTAGGTTTTTACTGGTGAAAGATTTTTTAAGATAAACTCAGTACTTTTGGAGTTATTTCAATACATACAAAAATACAATATTAACGTAGATTAGTTAGATAACTAGATAATGCGAAAGTTTAGTTGGATGGATAGATGTTTGTTAGACTTTACCGCCTAAACAACTGAACGGATCTGGATAAAATTTGGCATAGATGTAGAACGTAGTCTGGAAGAGTACAAAGACTGGTAGTTTTATTTAATCCGCGTGGACAGAGTCGCAGGCGAAAGCTAGTATTGATCAAACTCACCTTTTCATAGTTTCTTCATCATCTATATGTATAAAACTATCTTTTCCTGTAAAACTTGGATAAGAATTTGTATCTCCCCAATTGATTTCGTTGCCATTTATATATTTAACTTGCATATACGTCTGACCATCGTATGGCCCGTCTGTTGGTACATTGTCTATCGGCTCATCGTTCTGAATATACTGGTTTTTAGCTAAATATTTCTTGTATTTTTCTGTATAGTGATGTTTCTTCGATTTTACTTTGTGATATTTCAATTTGAATCCTTTCTTCGCGACTATCGAGTGATGGATTTCGTTTTCGGATATATTCAAATATTGCAGTGGTTTTATCGATTCTTTACATAGATTCTTGTCTCTGAAAAGTTTTTATAATAGTTAGTGCGTGTAGTGTCAATAATGCGCGGTTCACACTTGGCCAGTACAGTTGGATAGTTGTGACTTGAGACGGCCCGCAATAGGGACTCACTAGAGAAAGTGAGTCCCTATTGCGGGCCCTTTATTGTCAGACCAGTTATTGAGCGCTACTGAACAAGAATACTGGCCTGGAATGAACCGTCTCGTCAAGCTACTCTTTAAAACAACAATAAACATTCATCACATCTTGTTTGACGCTTTATGGACTTACTAAACTTTAGTAACTAAAATTTAATTTCAAATTGTTTCTGATAGTGTAGTTATGCACCAATTGGCTAATTTATCGGTTTTTTGTTATACTTGTTCTATTTTCCTATGTATTCATGATTAAGTTAGCTGTTGTTTATACTTACATAAATAAATAAATTAACACTAATGGAAGTTCTAGTACACAGTAATACCGTTTATAAGACAATATTTTACTAGCACCAGAAACAGAAGATAATAAATAGAAGACAGAATAGAATTATTTTCTTATTAATAAAGTGTTTTTTTATTCTACTAATAATTGTAACAGTTTTACTTACAAGCATGAATTGTTCTTCGGGTCCTCACAATTGTCAACGTTGACTCCGCCCAGAGCTGAAGATACCACGGATAGCTCTTGGTCGTTGATCACCAGCTGGAATGAAGTGAAAACAATTATTTAGAAAATATCTAAAAATTTTACATGTAGAGAGAATTTATTCGCCTTGAATTTAAAATCTTTACGTTCATATTCCAGCCTTTTTTCCTACATAGCGTCAGTGTGGTTACGATTTAAACACGGTAGGGTTAGAACTAGAAAAAGATGGATTGCTTAAAAGGTGACATGATCAAGAAGGGAGTGATGACTGAGATGACGTATGATAGTTATGTGGAGGACAAACACCTGATGCGCAACTACGGGAGCAGGATAAAGAGGAAAATGATTATATAGATTACTAGCTGTTCCCGTGCGGTTTTATCCCCATGACATTATGACAATTTTATTTTATTGTTTACATTAGTCAAGTTATCAATAGCAAATATCAAAATACCAATTACTTTACTATGGCAATGTTGCTTGATGTTGGCAGCAACTTATGGTCTCTTTCCCACATTAGTGATTTTTTTCAAAATATGTACCCCCTAATTTTAATAGCGTGAAAATAGATAGCCTAAAGCGTGACGAAAATGTAGAGCTTTTTATATAAAAAAAAATAATTATTCAAAAATATGGTGTAATTGGTGACATCTTAGGCAACAAAGAAGTGTGTTTACGCTTTATTATAATAGTATAGATAAAAACTACCTGTGCGACACATCCGCTGAACGAAGACTTCAACGCCAGC